AAAAAGACTAAATTTCTAAATTTATAATGATGATAATAATTATTCATTTAGAAAAACTGTGTTTTAATTCTAGCATTTAATAAAACAGCACATTCAATTAAGTATGAATTTTGTTAAGTCTTAAGCCATCTAAAAGCATTAAAGAAAACTAACGGCATAAAAACTCCACAGGGTACAGATTTAGGAAGGTGGAGGCACGCTGAAATTTAGAGGAGTCTCTAAGAGTCTATTAAATTTGTTACAACAGACTGAAAACTGGCAACAGGTTCCCATATGACTACCCTAAAATGAACTAAACTACAGGTTTTCACAGTGGATTTTGATGGCAATTCTGATATTAGAGATTTGGGGTATTTTTTATACATTTTCAGGGGGAAAAAAACAATGCTCAAGGAATATTTTCATCAGAACATTTCATCTGTTTCATTTGTTTCAAGTATAATACCAGCACTTTTGGAAATAATATGACTAAGAGTATAGGAAAGAATTATTCATGGTATTTGGAAATGGTTAATTTCATGTATCAAGTTTACTGGGTCATGGGGTGCCCAGATACTGGTTAAGCATTATTTCCAAGTGTGTCTGTGAGGGTGTTTCTGGATGAGATTAAGGTTTGAATTGGTAGACTTGAATTAAGTAGACAGTCCTCCCCAATGTGGGTGGGCCTCAGCCAATCCTTTGAGGACCTGAATAAAACAAAAAGGCTGAGCAAGGAAGAATCCACCCCTTCTGAATGATGACTGAGCTGGAACACTGGTTTTCTCCTGCCCTGGGACTGGGGCTTATACCATGGCTCTACTAGTTCTCAAGCCTTCAGACTTACACTACAAGTTATACCACTGGCACTCCTGGTTCTCAGACCCTAGAGTTTGTACTAGAACACACAAAATGGGTTCTGGTTCTAGGGTCTTGGACTCCGACCAGAACTATACCATCAGCTTTCCTGGGCCTCCAGCCTACAGATGACAGATTTCAGAACTTCCCAATCTCCATAATCATGTGAACCAATTCATTACAATAAATCGTGTGTGTGTGTGTGTGTGTGTGTGTGTGTGTGTGTGTGTAGAGCTAGAAATACAGCCAGTTGCATAGGTTGAGATAACCACATATACAGAGAGAGGTATATGTGCATGTGTGTAGGTGTATCCTATTGGTTCTGTTTCTCTGGAGAACCCCCAACAGTATTGTATTCTTGAATTAACATTTGTTTGCAGAGCAATACAAATCAAATAATTAAGTAAACACAAAATAATGATTCCCCTTTTTTTTAAATAATTGAAACCTAAAGTTTTAACTTTTAAATCAGTTAGTATACAAATTCTTTATTCATTCTGACAACTTCTTAAAATCAATTAAATGCTATTCCATTTATAATTTTTAAAGGCCTATCATCAGAGCTTAGTAGCTATTCTGAGTATAATTCTAAAAATACAATGCAGCCTCACAAGGAATGAATAAAATAATTTTAAGTTGTTGACTCTAAAAGAATAAATATTTTGAAATATTTTGAAACATAAAATTAGCCTTCATCTTAAAAGCCCTTAACATTAATCTGAATGTTTAAGGAGGTCTGTAAGTGGGTCATGAGATATTTGCTCCCAGGCTGAAAATCTGTATACAAATTGTTCCCTGGAAAGGATTTTCAACCAAAAGTTATAAAAACCAAAAGAAGGATTAATAATGGAAAGTCTGACCTAACATCAGCCTGACTGCTATGATGATATTCTACTCAGCAGTAGAATGATCCTTAGTTCTCAGAGTATGAATGATCCTTAGTTCTTTCAACTTGAGAGATGCCGATAATCTACCTTTTCTCTCAATTGTGCTTTATGTATAACTAATCAAATTATAAGATGTTGGTTCATACAATCAGGGACTTACTATATCATAACTAACAAAAATAACAAAAATTGTAAATGTCTATCATTTTTCATTCTCTTTTCCAATGCAATACTAGAACCAGTTAAATCTTAATTCAAAATATGTATTAAGCCACATTTAAACTAAATTTTAACACTGATATACTTCCTAAGCAAATCGTTAGTTTAGGACTTTGAAAAAAGACTCAAGAGAGTAATAATTTCACTGAAATATCACTGGCATACAAATCTTATTTATAATCTACAAATGATTATTTTCTACTCATTCAAGTAAACTTGGTTCAGGGTAGTAAAAAGAAAACATGAGAGTCAACAGACATGGATCCAAGATCTGGTTCCACTACTTACACATATAACCTGCCACATGTCACTGAACCTCAACGAGCATCAGTTTTCTTCTTTGTGCAAAATGGAGATGGTGACACTTCCGTGACCTACATCACAGATGACTCGATAACATAAATTATGAATATATTTTAATAACTCTGAAAGCAGAACTTAAATGTAATAGATTACTGTACTATGATATGTGTGTTACTTGAAAAATACCTATTCTTATATTTTAGATATTACCTAAAAAATAACGTCAGGAAGCCAGTCTGTCATGGGTCCCACATGTCCCTGTATGGTCTCACTGAGTACAACAAACTACAAGGTGCGCTGACCTTGAGCCCCTTCTATATCTAGTGACCAAGGTAACCACAGTGTAACTTCAGCACAACTGCTCATTTCCTAGGTGACCGTTGACACGTTTGGTTGCTACTTGCTACAAAAGGTGCTGAGCCCTTAGTCCTATGTTTCTCAGCTGCAACTCAACTCCCTGCAAGCACAGCCACCATCCAGGTGCATCACGTCTCACCATGGTACTTGGGAGCAGGAAAACCAGCACTACCCGGACGGATGCTCTAGCTGTTTGTGTATTTTAAAAACTGTCTTGCTCTTATAGCTAAGTCTCACTGCCTACTTTCACACCTATGAAGCTGTGGCAAACCAATCTGCTTGCTTACTTAGTCATTTCCTTTGGGATCTTGTTACTTCATGCATTCTCTATGTGGTTTGGGTTCTTCCTGAAATATCTTGGTGCAAGTAGTATGCTGAGATATGAGACAGACAATGATTTTTTGGAACTCCTCCAAAAGGGCCCAGCTAGAAGACAATGTAGATATAATTGTTAAAACAGGAGTCCCCTGAAAAGAAATGGATGGAATCAGGGGTGCCTGGGTGGCTCAGTCAGTTAAGCGGCTGCCTTCAGCTCAGTTCATGATCCCAGAGTCCTGGGATCGAGCCCCACATCAGGCTCCCTGCTCCGCGGGAAGCCTGCTTCTCTCTCTGCCACTCCCCCTGCTTGTGTTCACTCTCTCGCTGTGTCTCTCTCTGTCAAATAAATAAAATCTTAAAAAAAAAAAAAAGAAAGAAAGAAAGAAATGGATGGAATCAGCACCAAAGAAATTCGGTCCAGAAACTGAACTATGGGAGCCCCAAAGCATACACCTGGTTGAAACCAAAAATGCCTCTACAGATCCAAATTTCTCCATGGAAACTACAGAGGTAAGTGGCAACCTTAGAACACATTACTCCTTCAGTACCTTCACTACCTAACCTTGTGCCCTTGCACCCTGATTTACCAGCCTTTTAAGAAAAGGGGGACCAGAGACAGACCCATTCCCAAGGGAGGACTGCAGGGGAAGAAGAGACAGGGTGGGAGAGAGAAGCTTTTCTGGCTTTTTTGGATACTGATGCTTAAGTGGGTATCTCGTCAGCTTCTCTTGAAGGGCAGAAGCCACACATTCAATTGGCTGAAGTTGCAAACAGAATAAAAGTAGAATTCCTGGAACAATGCAGGTGGGGACATTTGGATCCTTGTTGTGCACTGCTGCTGGGGCTCCTCTCATTGCTGAATGTACACTTGCTACTGATGTCTGACGTACTGCAGTTGTACCGTGAATGTGCATGAAATCCAAGGGGTCTTTTCTCAGCGTGGAAGATGTGCTTGTTGGAGGGGATCGTAGGACAAGTGCATAACAGATTCCCTAGTCAGGCAGTCCTCTCCCATGTTACACAACAAAAACAATATGGAATTCCAGAAGGAAAAAAAAAAAAAAAGAAATCACCATTTTGATTAAAAACCTCAAGGCAGTAAGAATTTTGAGAGATGTGAAATTTCAATAAAATCACCTTGTGTGGCCTTGTGAAAAAGACTAATGGGAGCTGGAGGCCTACAGTGGATTGCCAGCAACTGAGTTCAGTTGTGCCCTGTTGCTCTGGTTGTTCCCAATATTGTGACTGTGAATGAATCAACTGCACAAACTGAGGACACTGGGTATGCCTTCTTGGCCATTGCTAATGCCTTCCTCTCTCTCTCTCTCTCTCTGCCAATGCCTCTTTCCTAATCCCTTTGATACTATAAGATCAGTATCAGTTTACCTTCACCTGCAGGTTCCAAGACAGGTTTACTATGTAGCCTCAGAGGTACCTGAATTCCCTTGCTGTTTCCACCAGTGCAGTGTGGAAGAAGCCCTTGCCCTTCAGGAAAGACTTGGTTCCACTACATTCGTGATATCATGCTGACTGACAGGCTCAAAGAAAGAGCAGGTGGCAATGGCTTTAGAACAAAAACTGACTCACATGAAAGCCCAGGGGTGGTTCATTAATCCTGATAAGACACAGGGACTTGCAAATTCCAAGGCAAATTCTTGGGAGCAATGAGGGCTACCCTGAGTCAGTAAAGGAAAAATTACTCATCCTCTGCCCTCCAGCTACCAAAAAGGAGGCCTGGCAGTAAGTTGGACTGTGGGGACTAGAGACAACATGTGCCCCAACTAGGCTATCCTACTAGGGTTACACAGACTTCTGGTTCCATAAAGCAGTACAAGTACTGTTCCCTGGCAGGAGAGTTCATGCCCTACGGCAAATGGTCAGCAACTGATCCTTAGTTTTCGCCAATGAGACTATGCAAGCTCTAGAAGATCAGTAGATCAGTTTAAACTCTTCTTGCACAAGCCACAATGGGTAACACTCTAGCCTTAAACTATACTTGGCGGAACAGAATATGTATAAATTAATACCACTAGACAGCGGAACAATCCACATATCCCACAAGAAAGGAAGTTAAATGATTACCTGAAATAAGACCTATCAGTCCTCTCTGGGGCTTTATTCAATTGGCTGAATCCAGAATCCTGTGGTACCTGATGGAGATGAAAACTGCAGGTTGGCTTCATCCAACTGATAATCATCCTTATCAAGTGTTGCATGAGATCATGTGAATGGATTTGGTCTCAGCATATTTAATCTGAATTGCTGACGGTGTGGCATACTCATGTGAAATTTGACTTCAGCCTATGTTTAGGGCCAAACGGTAGACTATTAGAAAAGGCTATCTATCATGGTCCCAAGAGCCCCTATACATCCTCCTTACCAAATGCACCAAACTACAAGTACACCAACCAATCCTCTGTCCTTCGGCCATATCTGTAGCTAGTCATGTAGGGCAGGCAACCATAGCATGACTACAGGGAGATTGCTTGCTCCCTGCCTGATCCCCAGTTAGGGGGACAGGCTTGCTTACACTTTCTTCCAATGGTGTTGAGCCTTTAGCCCTGGGCTCTGACACTGTGACCCAGCTAGCTCAATGAAAGCACAGCAACCATCCAGACCCATCTTACTACTCCATGGGACTTGTGGGCAAGAGAATCAGTGTGATTATGCCGATGCTCCTGCTGTTTGCTGTGCTACAATGAGCTGTTTTGCTCTGATCTCTGAGTCTCACTGTCTACTTTCAGGCCTACAGAGCTGTGGCAAGACATCCTCCTTGCGTGCTTGGTCATTTACTTGTCTGGGTACTCCTTGCCAACCTGCATGATGGCCGGGAAGAACAATACTAAGCAACAACACAGTAACAACTTGTTCTATACACAGTAGGCCAGCATTTCAAACCATTAAAAGAAACTGTAAAAGTATGAGAAAGTTCAACAAGTCAGGATATTTACTTTGATGGATTTAATTTTTGATTTCACCAAACATCACAATCGATAATGCCTTAACATCACCTGAATGCATTACCAAACAGAAAATTAAGTAAGCAGAAAGACAGCATGCCAAATAGCTAAGGAAATCATTTCAATTCTATCCTTTCACAAGTAAAAATAATTTCCACTAGTCATTTTACTGTTCTAAACACATTTATCACAAGTTTAAATACAATGAACATTAGAAAAGTGATCTAGTAACATAAATATTCCAGCTAGTTAATCTTGCAGCATAGATTATCTCTTTCCTGCACTGCACTCCTTTGAGATAAGGTCATCTGCTAGGGCAAAGATACTGTATACATGTTTTTAAAAAGAAAATGATCTTACAGATTTTCATTTTCACTTTCAATATTTCAGTATGCACCCACTGGTACAGCCTCAGGAAACTGAAATCAAAATGACATCTGGAAGACGACCAGCAACCAATCACCAAACTGAGTAAATCCTTCCTTTAACAAAACCCAGCTTTAGATATTTACACATAATTTTCTTATGCAAACTCTGTTGAAACAAATAACAATACTACCATTCTCCTCTCTCTGGCTCCTTTCATCCATTGTTATTCCCTCACCAATATGTAGTTAAGACTTAAATACCTATCATAAAATGTGCAGAAAACAATTGCAGTTCAGACTATATGAGGCAAGTATCTGTTTTCTTACTAAATTCAACAACTTTCAGCTTTCTAAGGCTGTTCCCCTGGGTGACACTTGAGTTAGCATGAATGCGTTGGTCTCAATTTTTAAGAATACAAGAAAAAATACACACATAAATTAACCTATACTTCACGTGTGTTGCTCACAGGTATGTTTTGTACTCAGTACAACACTCTCATTAGTGTGAGAAAAATTTCAGAATAATAGTCTTTAACGTTTAAATCAGTTTGGGCACATGAAGAAAAAGAAAAGGCACATTTAAAAACAAAAAAATCCCTTTGAGGCATGCTCCTGTTATATCTATGGTATCAAACTTATTCCCACCACTCCAGGAGACGTCAAAAGGTCACTACACAAAGCAGTAAACAATAACAAAAATAGCTTCTAAATCCATCATACCCTGGGAGAATGGGGAGAGCAATGTTTTCCAAGAAAGGAAACATGAAAATCAGCCACAGTGTTAAACTTTCGTGGAGAATCTAATCAGTAAGGCAAAGCCAAAATCATACATGCTAAAAACCCAGAATTAGTTGTTAGGAAGGCAATTTAGCTGTCACCTTAACACATTTAATGCATAGATGGCCACAAAATTAGGATAGATAAAAATAAAACAATCACAGCTGATTTGGAGGAAGGCCCTGGTAAATTTATTTTTAGGTCAAAATGCACAATGGGAAGCAAGTCAGTATAATTATAGATCAAATCTCCTAATATAATATATCTTTTCCAATTTTTGGCAATGCACATACCACACCACCTTTTTCTTCTATTGTCTTCAGGCCCACTCAGTTTGTGTTTCAATTTCATTGACACTGACATCGTCAATGACCCAGATCTAACCAAAAACTTTTAACTTAATCCATTTGAGTATTTTTGTATTTACAACCTTACCACATTATTTAAGGGCCTATTATATGCCATGGACTATTCTAGACTCTGGGCATACAACCCGCACAAAACTGACATGAGCTCTGCCCCCAAGGACGACCTTGTGATCTAGGTAAAAAGACTGACTTTGATGGGTGGTGTGGTAAGTCTGACAAGCGAAAAATGCAAGGTGATAAGGGAGCATATAACAGAGTGTGGGGTAGGGGGGTATCAAGGAACTCTTCCCACTGAAGAAGTGCGCAGTGCGCACTGAAGAAAGGGGTTCTTTCAGTAACAGGACACATCGGCAAGGGGAAGAACCGGAGCAAAGACCGCATTCTGGGCAGCACTGTCTCTAGACAGGAGGTATTCTGTCTGCTCCTAGTACTCGTTATATACAGAAAGGTTACATTTCATGGACGGTCAGAGGTGGTTGTTAACTTTCAATGTCAAAACTTGGTATTTCTTAAATTTCTTACATTTTATATTAGACTACTATAATTCAAGAAATGACATTCTTAGTTCAAGTCAGAACAAGACTTGAATAAGACTTTAATAGATCTATCAAGAAAGCTTCACTGAGGCACATTTTGAATGGGGAGAAATTCATTCCCTCCCTCCCAGGGAGGTATAAAGTGAAAAATTTATGTCTAAAGTAGTTTCACAAATCTGGATCACACACAAAAGGAGGCAATCATTGATAACACTTCTTTAAAACAAAATATCTGCCAGAAAACCTGGCTTATCTCAACGGATGGACACAAATTCCCAATCATAACGAAGTTGAAACACAGATTAAGCAAAAAAGCTTCTCTTTTGAGAAAAGAAAAATAACTGCTAAGTAAAAGAAACACCTCAGAGAGGGAAGGTGGAAATCTATACTAATGTACCCAGTGTCTCCATTAGCATGCATGTTTGTATTTTGGAAACAGAAAAATCAAGACATTCTTTTTAATACAAATTTTCTTAGTACCTTTCAGAAGTGTCTTGTCCCCAGACCCTCCCAGAACCACCAACAATATTCTATTTTGGCTTAGAATGCTTTGTCATTGTATTAATGAAGATAAAGATAATCTTGTTGTTATCACTGTTGCCATCATTGTTGTGTTGTGTTGTGTGTATACATGCTTTAAAGTTGGTAAAGCCACTTTAAACACAAACCAAATTTAAGAATTCTTAAGTCCACCATTAGTCACAAATCATCTAGATTTATGAATGATCTAGAACAATAATGCAACAGCTCTATAAATATCCAAGTGATAAGGGAAATCTGTGTCCTAAGATGGCCGACCCAGCCAGCAAGGGAGTCCCAGCCCCTGCCCCGGGGCTCTGCTTCCCGTGCGCACCAACCCAGGTTCCTCTCCCTGCCCCGCTTCGCGCACACACCGAGAGTGCCCAGTATGCAGAAGAAGTGTATAAATTGCCCCTTTTGTTTGTGCTCGGGGCTCAGACCTTTGGAGATCACTCTCCTCAGAGCCCGCGGTGTTAAATAAACCTCCTATCCTCCAAGATCTCTGAGTGCCACTTGGTTCTTCCATCAGGTGATCCAGGCCAGGTTTGGTAACATTTGCTTGCCTGACCGGGAAACCCAACTGCGCTGGCCCATTGTTGCCACAGTTTGGGGGCAACGGCGGGGCAGTGACGGAACGAGAGATGGTAAGGGAGAAGGCGCGCGCTGTTTCGCTCCCGCCCCAGTCACCTTGGGCCAGCCCCGCTCCGCTGTTCCCGCCGGACTCAAGGAGACTTGGCAGGTGAGGACCTGGTCCTGACATCGGATTCCGGTAAGGCCTGGGGTCCCAGGACCCAGATAGGCGCACCCATCGGGGTGGAAGGGGAGCCTGATCACCTCCCAGAGACCTCTTAGAGGTCTCACAGGTAGGGATTCCCAGGGAGCGAATGTAGTAACTTCTGGAGTAAATGTGTGAGTGAATGTGCAGTCCGACCTGGCTTGCTCAAGCAGACTGATTCTGTGACTCCACGGGCGGGCACCCTTAAAGTCCCCAGAAGTCTACAGAGTCTGAGTGGGCCCGTCTGCAATTCCGTGGTGAACAGCATACAGTCTATGGCGGCATCGGAAGAGTTTCCGATTGTAAGTCACGACACAGATCGCTACGGCTAAGCCTCACCTAAGCTCCTTCGGGACACGGCCAGACGGGCATCTGATTGGTCTCTGCACCTCAGGAGGCACCCCCCCTTTTGTCTGTCTCTGCGCCACCGCACATGGGGACATAACCATGGGGTCAGGGCAGAGTAAACCTACAGTTCTAGAGACCATGATCAAAAATTTCAAGAAGGGGTTTTCGGGAGACTATAGAGTCAGGGTGAACCCCAGCAAGTGGAGAACCCTATGTGAATTGGAATGGCCCAACTTTGATGTCGGGTGGCCTTCAGAAGGGACACTGGATGTCCCAAAGATTTGCCGAGTATGGCAAGTTGTAACAGGAGAAACAGGACACCCCGACCAGTTTCTGTACATTGACTCCTGGCTAGGAATTGCTCAGACCCTTCCCCCCTGGGTGTGATTCGCTTGCAATAGGCAGGTACAGGCCAGGGTCTTAATCACCTCATCCAAGAGACCTAAAGAAAAGCAGCAAAAGCCCCAGTCGCCACAAATCCTAGCCGGAGATCCTGAGG